CAATCTCCTTCAGTGATCAGGGAAGGTGGTAAGGAGAAGCTCCATCAACATGGCTCCACAGTTAACTGTGCACTCACTAGCCTATAACTCTAAAACTAACTTCAAAGGAAAAGGAGCCTAGTTGGATTTATTCTGAGGGCAACAAAGAATAGTTGCTGTCTAGTTTTGAAGAAAACTAATCAGATGATGCGTGAATTACAAGTCAGATACCTGCCTGGGCAACAAATACTGAAAGACTATACAATGGGAAGCACAGTAGTAATGGTGGTTGCATAGCCCATAGCTACAGTAGAAGTCCAATTTTATGCAGTAAGATCTCCTGCATTATTTGCTGCCCAGTGTGCATTTTGGGAATTAAGTATTTTAATTTTGTACAAAAGTCCATGCCAGATTCTAATCATATGCAGCAATCGATTTAAAATAAGGACATAATTTGTGTTCTTTTCAATAATTACTTTGTGGATTATGTGAGACTAAAACCCATCTGATTTACCCATGTCTATTTACTGATGTTTTGGTTGTAGCTTTTGGAGGAGGATGCAGGGTGAGTAAAGTGCCATATCCGTGCCTTGGAAGAATTACTTTTGTGCAAGAATACTTTAGTTTGAATGCCTGTTTCTTGGGTGTGTCTGCTGAGACCTTCAGCACAGGCAGTATTTAGAGCCAATTTTGTGTGGTATTTATGATATGGCCCACTTCTGTCCTGTTTCCAATTTAACTTTTCATCCTAAATCCAAGTCATTTTGCTGCTGTTTTCAACTATATCAATTTCCTAGCATAGAAAGTGCTAGAGAAACAAACCTAAATCAAGTCCCGTGACTGAGGAATACTGGTGCAAAGGGCCTTAAGGGAATTCTAAGACTGGGCCTTAATGATAAAGGAAACCAATATAAAACATTAAGGAAAAGACAATAACCAATACTATTACTACTTTAAGGGTATGTCTACACTACCCTGCTAGTTCAAACTAGCGGGGTAATGTAGGCATACTGTACTTGCAAATGAAGCCCGGGATTTGAATTTCCCGGGCTTCATTTGCATAAGCGGGGAGCCGCCATTTTTAAAACCCCGCTGGTTCGAACCCCGTGCAGCGCGGCTACACGGGGCACAAACTAGGTAGTTCGAATTAGGCTTCCTAGTTCGAACTACCGTTACTCCTCGTGAAATGAGGAGTAACGGTAGTTCGAACTAGGAAGCCTAGTTTGAACTACCTAGTTTGTGCCCCGTGTAGCCGCACTGCACAGGGTTCGAACCAGCGGGGTTTTAAAAATGGCGGCTCCCCGCTTAGGCAAATGAAGCCCGGGAAATTCAAATCCCGGGCTTCATTTGCAAGTGCGGTATGCCTACATTACCCCGCTAGTTCGAACTAGGAGGGTAGTGTAGACATACCCTAAGTGACTTGCAAGCACACAGTAAGGAGAGAACAAGTCCAACTGGAGAGCGCCATTACAAAATAATAGGGATATCTTGCTAAATGCAAATACCTGGATTTTTTTTATCTTTATTATCATTCTAACACTTGTGCCCAACATAGCAAGATCACAATTACATTATTGCTTTATTCTGTGGCAATTGTTAACATTTCTATTAGTATACAGTTCTCATTGCACAGGAGAGACAAGTAACTGCCTAACTTTCCTGTTTGCTTCCAGTGAAACACAGCATCATAAATTGGTAGGACATAAAATATTTCAGACTATAGTATAGCACCATAAGAATATGATTACGTGAAAACTATATTTTCATTACAGATTAACATTAGTGTCAGCGGTAAAGGGTGTAAGCCTCCTCTAATTGCAACAGAAAACTTTCTCCCATCACAAATCTTAAAAGTTTATGCTGAGATTTTATAGAACATTTATTGAAAATAGACTTTATGAATTAGGCAAGATAGGAGAATTAGAGAAGTAGGAACTGAAAACTGCTAATTTGTTCAGAGACTGAAAACCATGCACGACAGTGCTTAGAAAAGGTAGATTAGCCTCTTTCTCTCAAGTGCTTGAGCAGTATACATTCCAATGATCCTCCATATTGGTTTATCAGAAGCAGTAGCAAAGAAACTTCAGTCATTAATGTGTTCATTTTGCTACCTAACAATTCCAGTTTAAAACAATGTCTATACCAAACTTCTGCAATTGAAACCATCTTTCAATGTTGCTCCTTTTAAATAGAACAAGCAATGTCAACCTTAAAATGCAGTTTTAAAACACATCTTTCCTGTTGCCACCACCGGCTATTACAGCAGACTGAAATTATCTAATATGTGTCTTCCTACATCTCTTCAATTAAATTGTTTACTTTTGAATTTCTTACCCCATGCAAAGATTTGTCACTCTTCTTTGTTGGTGAGTTTCTAGTTCGCTTCAGTTTTTCTCATGGAGTAACACAATATTTTAAAAAATGTAGTGGTACATTTGTTAAACTGGTTCCATGGAAAATTTATAAATATTAGTACTTGTGTTGATCTTAAATTTCATTTGAAAAACTGGCTTTCGCAAAATGTTACTTTAGAGCAAGACTTTACTTGATAATGTCCCTTTAAATAAGTTAGTGTTAAAAAGAAGAAATGTTGGAAAAGTTATTTTGTTGTTTTTCCAGGAATTGTCACATACATATAATAGAACTGGAGGTTAATCAAATAAGCAGTAATAGAAAAGCAACAGCGACTTTAACAAAGACTTTAATTGGCAAAATGTTTTGTAACCAAGTTTTCACAAGTAGTTCAGTGCTATGCAAACTGACTATATCCAGTTACAAACTGGGAATTGTGCAATTCCAGTCTTTTCATCTGCTACATTAGGATTGTCATTTTATAACATGAATGCAATAATTAATATAGAATCTTTAACTAGTGTTTGCAAAACAATTTTGTCTCTAACAAACACCCACCCCTAAACAACTTTGCCCTTGGTTTTTACATTTTATCCTACCTAGTTACCAATATATACCATTAATCTGATAGAAGCAAAATATGTACTTAATGGTACAAAACTACATACAAATTCTAATTTTTAAACTGCTCAGAAAGCAATACACAAGGAATTAGAAAAGCAGAATACACTCAATTTAAACAATTATTACATGTGACCTAACATCCATACATTAGACTACGTACCTTTTCCATGTTTACAATGGCTTTATTTTTGCGTGTGGTGATTCTCAGCTCATGATTTTGATTATAAAAAGTAATGACAAACCTTTGCCTGAACTCAGTCTAGACTCTGCCCCAAGATGCCCTAGCTCAGATTTCTTTTGTGCTATATGTAAACTGAGATTGCATAGGGTAGGGCTTGAAAAAGTCTTTCACCATTGGCAAGCAGGAAGTTCTTCCTGCTAGTAAAGGAGCTTAACACATCTATTTCTGTGGAATTACAGGTTTAGTCTTTTATAATTACGTTTCTAACCTTTATGGTTGCAAAAATAATCTTCCAAGTGGAAGAATGACAAACTCACTTGCTAAGCTCTGCAGCCAGTTGACTCCAGCTCCTCTGATATTGTTGTTGCTTGTGGCTTTGCCAAACAGCAGTACAGTGAAATTAACAATAGTACAACCAATAGTGCAGCAGGCTATTGTCTTCAGTGAAATTCAAATATTATATCAATTTCATGCTGCTGTTCCTGGGGGAAATTAGGAGCAGCAGCAGGGTAAGAGACAGGGTGTAGAAGCCATATGGAACCTTGGTGGGGGGACAGGTGGAATTGTGGTGTGATCATTCCTTAGCAGTCAGGAGGTGGTGGGAAAGAGATCCTAGAGATCTGACCCACCACCTAAATATTCTTCATGGGAATTTCTAAACTTACAAAGGGCTTAATAGCTACAGATTAACACAAGATGATGCCCCCAAACCAGGACAGAAATCCTGGAACCCTGAGTATAGGTACTCAACTACCCTTTTAATGGTCATCATTATTAAACACGCAGCAGTTGTCAGTGGCAGAACTGGACTTCTTGCTGGTGATGTTCCTCTTCCTTATACTTTATCTCTTGTAGTAGATTTAGACATTAACCTAAATTCTCAAGAACAGGACACGGTGTTCACATTTCTTAAATGCTACAAAGGTCATTACAGTAAGTCTTGTAAAAATAAGGGAAGGATTTTTTGGGAGTACTCTTACACAATCTCAAATGTACCAGTTTTTTGTTGATATGGCAGATTTTCAAAAGCAAGGATGAAAACTGGAGTTTCTAGTCATCCAGTTGGAAGTACTTCATATTTTTTCACTTATATATGTATTGTGGTGAGAAATAAGGAATAAAACTTACATGAGTGAAATCATATTTTATTCCTAATTTGGTTAGGCTCTATTTATATATTTTTGAACACTAGTAGTTATACTTTCCCCCTATAATTAGTAAATTTGTAACCAGGAAAAAAAATGCCTTTTTTGCAAAAATCCAATGAAGGTTTAATTCTGTCTAGGTATTCATCACTGTAGTACCAGTGTGCTTCCAGAAAGGCATTAACACAATGTAGCAGGGTAAAGTGTACCATATTTAAAAACAGATCATGCCAAATTAATCGTTACTATAGTATATGCACAGAGAAGATGTTACGCATAATGCTTCAGTTCCTTTTCAACCAGACTCCTTCCTCTAAACTGTACCATTTTAAATATAATGGTAATGCACACATAAATATAAAGATAAATCTTTGTCTCCCCCTTCTGGCAGATGGAACTCAAATTATACGTAAGACCTCACCCATTCATAACATTTTTAGAACAAAACAATACAAACCTTTTCTATATATACTGCTCTCTACTCTTAGTTTGACTGCAATAATCAGTTGATTATGTGGTTCCTATAGTTCAAGTAGTACTAGGGGATGCAGTGGTAGGAATCACAGCCTAAACAATAATACTTAAATAGTAGAGTCTAAATATCTTCCAATTATTTTTTAATCACATGGATCTTGCTTCTCTTTGCTTCTATTCAGAATAACTTTTCATAACTAGTGAGCAGCAATGATAAAATAAGTCATTTTATTTATTTATTACTATAGTATCTGTATCATGATAGCAGCCACTATGTGATATTCAAGCATACATGATACAGTTTCTGCCCCTAAAGAACTGAGGTTCTGCTTAGGTTAAATGGAGGGTCAAATTAAAGAGTGGATTAAGCAGAAGGCACTTTATTTAAATACTAGGTTTTAAAAAACAAAGTTAATGCCAAGCCTGTTTAACATTTTAAACAATGCTTAGTAATCACAAACTGCTCTAGGTACCAGCTCCTAGTGCCTGGATTGTCTAAAATGCCAAAATCTGGAAACATACAGTACTGTTATGCTATTAAAGTTGCACTCATACATGCAAGATACTTCCTTAATATGAGAGTTAAGTGTGGATAAAGGGAAGAAGAGTTCCAATTATCTTCACAGATCATGGATTATTGCTGCAACAAAATTTTGCAGGAAACAATGAACAAACCACCAAAAGAGGTACATCATACTCCTACATACCACTCCTTCAGAAAACGTTTTGGTAACTGATAAAAAGAATGGGACAGTAAAAGACAGAAAATCAGAGGGATAGCCAGAAAAACTGTAGCCTAAACAAGGAGAAGGATTGTGAGCTGAAACTATCCATGACAGCATGTGACATGAAAGGTGTCATTAAAAGGGACTCTCTTAGTGAGGGACTCAAACTATTTTTGAGTGAAGTTCCTTCCAAGCCCAAGGATGAGAGTGTTTATTTCCTGGAGGGAGGATTATTTGAACTGGAAATAGTCTGCAATGTTTGTTCTTGTGTGTAAGCACAAATAAATGGAGCCTCTTCTTCTAAGTGACAAATAATTGTTACATCATCTTCATGGACCTCCTTATACAATGAAGTTTAACATTTTTATGGACCAGAAGCTAAAAAAATAAATGGGGGGGGGGTTGGATTTGAGAAGTCGAAAAGCAAAGCAGTTTACACTCTGAACGACAACTAATCAATAGTTAATGGTAGAAAAGGAGCCTAGTATGAAATAACATAATGCAGCATAAATACCTGCTTCATGTTCCTGCACCAAGAGATCTAAGAAAGTTGTGAAGGCAAAAGATCCAATACAGGATATTTTTAAACAAAAGCTTTGTTTTGGATAATAGCATATAAGACCTGTAAACAGAGGCTGATTGTCCAAGCTTTCATAACTGAATTTGATTTTTTTCCAAAAAATACATTTATAAAAAGTTCCATTATTAAACAACTTTTTTGGTGAAATAAGTGTGAGAATTCCATGAGAATACATAATTCCATTTTATAGCAAAACCGGGCAGATTGCAGATGAGGCTATGGTTTCTTTGTAGTACTTTGTAAGGTTAGTACCAAGTTATAGTCCAGAAGAAGTCCTTTAACTTTTTCATGGAATTTCTCTCTATAACAGTTGAAGTGCATAATACTTTCTGGTTCTTCTTCAAACCAAAATTTGTCAAACTCATAAACCAGATAACCTGTAAAGAAAACAAAAGAGTTCTACAAGACCTGTGGTCTTTTTTGTACTTTAGGCTGGTAAGACCCATCAAAGCCATTCAGCCAGAAGATGGGAAAGTCTCACTTTATTCAACAGCAATTTTTCTAGATAGTGTACAAGTAATTAGCAAGAATGCATGCCTTTAGAAAATAGTGGCTATTTATTAAATTGATGCCCACTGTACATATTCATCCACCCAAATTTATCCAATGAAGAAAGATATTGAGGTTAATTCTTGTTTTGGAGGATCAACAGATAAATACTTTTCCTTTGCAACTATGCTTGAAAATAATTCATAATCATGTTAGACGCATCACAGCACTACAATATTTTCAATATTTAACAAACTGGTCTATTATTAGATGCCCTTCTAATAGCTGGTCCAGGAGTAATCATGTATTACTGTTGTCAACTAAAGGAGTTATTCCATTATCTCAAACAGTAGGGGCCTGGACTTTTGGTAACAAAGGTAGTCCTACCCTGATAATCTGTAAGAGGAAAAAGTTACAGATACTCACAATAAAACTGATGGAAGTGTTCCATTTGTGGCAATCCAGGGACCAAATTGTAGAGATGAGACTTTAAAGCACCACTCTTTAGTAAACTGTAAGCCATTTCAGTCAGATTGATCCCAACTATTGCATAGGAATATCTGAAATACCAAAAATATTTCCTATGAGACCCTCATGAAATCCATTCTCCTGTTGATTCTTATAATTTATTCCATTTTCCAGAGCTAATTTGTATAAACAAAATTATCTACCAAATTATTTCTATTCTACATTTTGTATAATTCTAGGAATCAGGCAAAGTCTGCCTTGTCAGTATTGAGCATTTTTGTCTCCACCATACTCTTAAGAGCTGGTGAAGTTAAAAGATGAACTGTGTAGGAAAGTTAAAATTTCATTAGCAGCAAGATGATTGATGCCCCTATTAACCATACAAGCAACAGGACAAAGTTTAACTGGCATTATGATGGTTTGTTCCAACCCTGCACTGGTTCAGCAAGAGTTAATCTCACACTGTGGGCTGAGAAGGGCACACCTCCTTGCTTCTACTGGACATGCTCCAACTAGAACCCGGATATAAAGGGAGCAACTCAGCTCAGTCAGGGCTGACTGTCAAAGGGGAAGGAGGTGCTGCAGGAGCTCCAGGGGAGGAGAAAGCAACTGACGCCAGAGAAAGGTGAGGCCATGGAACTCTGGAGATAAGGCGCAGAGGAACTTGTAGGAAATATTCCCGGGGAACTTAACATGGAACCTCTCATACAACATGCAGCTGGCTCGGTATGTTTTGGCTAGCAACCCTGCCATTGCCAGGACCTTGAATTGGAATCCAATGGAGGAAAAAAAAAGTCTATAACCCCCTATCTTGGCCTGTGCTCACCTTGAGGTGGCAGCCCATCTTTCCAGCCACTCTGGCCATTAGGCTGCAGCCCCCCAAGGGAGGACAGCTATATTGATTCTGACCATTGGACAATGCCCAGAAATAAGGGCAGTAATTCCAGACAGACATAGAGGTGGGACTACAACATCTCAACACACTCCAAACAGTGACCAGTTTACCAGCCTCAGTTTAAGCATACAGAAAAATAAAAGATACTTTTAATTCTAAATCTGATAGTTACATTTTCCAACTCTTCTTTAACACTATCATCATGCTACCAAACCACTGCTATACAAACAAAGGTGGCGAGCAAAAGCTTAAGTAGATCTTGTGTATTTTCATATGTGATTAGAATTTTCAATTATTGAATATTTTCTACTCTATAACAATCAGGTAAGGTTATATGTGCACTTTATTCAATGACTCAAATTGCACTTTTGGGCTTTGTCCATGATACCCTGTTTCCACAGAGAGGTAGCATTCCAAAAACAGAAAATGTACCTGAGTTACATCTCTAGATCTACTCCTGTTATGTATAGGACTCTTTCTTGTTAGACAGTCCAATGATCAAAAAGTAGAATAAGTTTAGCAGTAAAAGTATCATTTTTAAATATTTACAGTAAGTTAAAGGATACATGTTTTCACTGCAGAAATCTTAACTTAGGGCAACGTTCATGACAAGGCACAAGATAAAGTCTTCCCATGCTTACTTTATTAATTATTGTGACCAAACCAGAGTTAACTGAGGATTGGATGGACAGAAAAGTAGTGTCTTGTAAAGGGTAAGGTAGCTTGTTTGTTATTTTGATATATTTAAATATTTGTACAGTATGCAGTCCATTGGATGGGCACTTAATCTGTGGAGGGGTGTGTGTATGTGTATATATATATATATATATATATATATACACACACCCTGCACTTGGCACAGTGTGCATTAGTACAAATATCTTGACTACATTAGTGTTATTAAATAGAATAAAGGACAAGTGCTGTTCTCTTCTGCGTGTAATCCAAATCTTAGTCATACTATTTTTGTGGGGTTATAGTATTATGCTAGAATGAAACTAACTGAAGACTACTGCCATTGGTAATCTGTAAACAGACTTACGGGAACAAACACATAGCTATACACACAGGCTGTGTCTAGACTGGCCACTTTTTCCGGAAAAGCAGATGCTTTTCCGGAAAAACTTGCCACCTGTCTACACTGGCCACTTGAATTTCCGCAAAAGCACTTTTTGCGGAAAAGCGCATCTAGATTGGCCACAGACGCTTTTCCGCAAAAAAGCCCTGATCGCGAAAATGCCGATCGGGGCTTTTTTGCGGAAAAGCGCATCTAGATTGGCCACAGACGCTTTTCCGCAAAAAAGCCCTGATCGCGAAAATGCCGATCGGGGCTTTTTTGCGGAAAAGCGCATCTAGATTGGCCACAGACGCTTTTCCGCAAAAAGTGCTTTTGCGGAAAAGCATCCTGCCAATCTAGACGCGCTTTTCCAAAAATGCTTTTAACAGAAAACGTTTCCGTTAAAGCATTTCCGGAAATTCATGCCAGTGTACACATAGCCACACAGTTTTCAATTAAGATGCAGTAACTACATCTCCAAAAGGACTAACTCACACTTAGAAACTAATTCCCTTTGTCAGTGTCCTACAGAAAAAAGGTTTTCCTCTAAAAAATTCAGAAGGTGTGCCAATACAGACTTGGCAACCTACAGATCCAAGATCTCTGAGAGATATTAGGCCCATACAAATGGCTTACCCCAATTTGGGATGATTTGAACGAGAGAGGATCTGGCGAGCTTCTCCAGTGTAATATTTACTAAAATACCTGAAAAGAAGCAAACATACAAAGTAAGGCTTACTGTATAAGTAGTTTAACAACTAAATCTAACATTTTCAATAACAGAAGAAAGTATTGAACAAAAAGTGCAAAATGAAAACTAATAAAAGTAAATCGAGGAAGTGATATGTACCAAGGAATGGCATGATAAAGGAGATCAGTAGAACGGGAACCTTCTAGAGCAGTGGCCTCCAACCTTTTTACACGCAAGATCACTTTTTAAATGACAGAACAAGCGGAGATCTACAGCCCACCCTTCCTCTCTATTCTCCTCCTCTCCATCACTTGCTATCCCCAACCCTTATACTGCTGCTTTTTTCCCAATTCTTCTATAGGAAGACGTTTTTCCAACGTTTGGCCTGTCTAGACTGGACCAAATGTCAGAAAAACCCCTTATTTTGGAAGCCCCCTTATTCCTCGTGGAAAGAGGAATATAGGGGTTACCGAAAGAGCATGTTTGCTCTTCCACTAAAAAAAAGCAGACAAACAAATGCATCCCTGGATGCAGAAGAGTTTTTCTGGGATATCTCCGGAATCCTGCAAAACTCCTGAGTTACATCTACACTGGCGTGATCTTGCATTAAAGTAGTTGTGCAAGAGAGTGTCTACACTGGCATATGCTTTTGCACAAAAGAGATGCTTTTGCACAAGAGCATGCATGCCAGTGTAGATGCTCTCTTGCTCAAGAAAGCTCTGATGGCCATTTTAACCATAGGGCTTTCTTGCACAGAAAATTCATGTTGCCTGTCTGCACTGGCTTCTTGCACAAGAACAGTTGCGCAAGAGTGCTTATTCCTGAGAGGGCGCATCAGAGTTCTGGTGCAAGAAGCCCTGATTTCAAACATTAGAACATCAGTTTACTTGCTCAAGAACACGCGGCCAGTGTAGACAGGCAGCAAGTTTTTGCGCAAGAGCGGCTGCTTTGCGCAAGATCGCGCCAGTGTAGACGCAGCCTGACTGTCTCTGAAGTCTAGCCTTACCCTTCCTGGGTTGAGGCAGGATGTGTAGGCTCTGGGATGGGAATGAGGGAGTTGGGTATGGGAAGGAATGAAAGGTGCAAGCTCTGGGAAGAAATCTGGATGCAGGAGGAGGTGGAGAAGGGGATGCTGGGTCGGGGAGGGGGCTTCAGGGCTGGGCAGTGTTGGTCAGATGTACAGTTAGGGTAAAGAGAAGCTAGATAATTTCATGGAGGTTAGGTCCATAAAAGGCTTATTAGCCAGGGGATAAAATGGTGTCCTTGGCCTCTTTTTCCAGAGGCTGGAGAGAGATGGCAGGAGACAAATCACGCGATCATTGTCTTCGGTCCACCCTCTCTGGGGCACCTGGTGCTGGCCACTGTCGGTAGACAGGATACTGGGCTAGAAGGACCTTTGGTCTGACCCAGTACGGCCATTATAATGTTCTTATGTACTAAGCAAGCTACAGGCTTATGGCTATGAGGGTGCAGGAATTTGGGTTGGGGTATGTGAGAGGCTCAGGGCAGGGGGTTCCAGTGTATGATAAGTTCAGGTCTGGGGGAAAGGGGAGGGCAGGAGTGTTATCATGCTGTGGCCAGATGGGGGCTTGGCCCCAATTGGGGGTTTGTTGGCCAGGCTTCATTTTAAAATAAAATACTATGTCAAATCCACAAAGTTTCTACACTGTCTTTATTTATGAGAAGGGCAGGGAACCTGTTTTGACCTCCAGAAAAGTCAGTGGGGGCCACACAAGTGAGATGCAAAATAAAAACTCCTCCAAAACCCCCACTAATATGGCCCCCAACTGTGCTGGTGGGAGCAGGGGACATGGTATTCGGGAAGGGTGTTGAGTAGTTTGCAAATGGGTGCTGGCGCAGGGGACAGGGTGCTTGTAGGTGGTGGGGCAAGGGCAAGGGCCTCGGTCAAAGGACAGGGTGCTGGTGGGGCAGGATACTTGTGGAGGTCTGGGCAGGGGGAGGGGACAGGGACCAGTACCTGGGGATCCTGCAGCTGTAGGCCAAGGCCCAGGAAGTGCGTGGGCTGCTCCCCCAAGCCCTAAACAGTAGCACAGTACGTGAAACTCTGGTTCACCATGTGCCTGATGTCTTCCTATGGGGGCTGGGAATGGGGGAAGGGGGAGTCCTGGACTGCACCAGCTTCAGCTGGTGCACTGGAGACTTTATTTCCCTCTGCCTCTGGGAGGGTGGGGGGCAGAGGAAGAGTCCCAGACCGTGCCAGCCCCAGCCTAAAATGCTGGTCCATCGTGTGCTAGAGACTTTGTTCCTCTGCTACCTTCCTGTGTGCGGGGAAGGTGTTCGGTGCCCAGGACTGCCCCGCAGGCAGGCAGCAGGGGAATAAAATCCCCAGCACGCCGGCTCCAGCTGGGAAGGCAGCGCACGATGGACCAGCATTTTAGGTAGTGCCCCGGCTGTTCAGATGGGAGGAAGAGCAGCCCGCGCACTTCCGGTACCAGGTGTGCGGCTGCAGAACTCTCCCCACCCCACTGGAAGCCCATGCTACCTCCATTGTTCCTGGAGGAAGCATCAGCACGGCATTCATCTTGGGGGGTGGCAGTATGGGGGGGCCCTCCAAAAGCCTCGCGATCGACTGGTCGGGGCCCCAAGATCGACCAGTAGATCGCGAAAGACAGATTGGTGACCACGGTTCAAGAGAACTCAGGATTACCCTATTGAAGTATGCTGTAGTCACGAGTTTTCATATCTTCTGTTCTACATCATTATTTTTAACTTAGTGATAACTTTATTTTGAAGAGTTTTGATCGGTAACTTTTTCAGCTATAGCATAGCAAGCCAATTGCACGGGGTAGAATATGTTTCACTTGTAAACTTCTTTCTGCTCTTCTTCTCATTACAATTTGTAACTACAACTGACATCTAACCAATTAGTTGTTTACAACAATGCAGCTCGCTGTTGAAGAACTATTTACTCATTTCCCATGTTCAGTAATGTATTATAATAGCAGATATATTTATATTTTTTTACACTCAGGTAGTCAATGCAGAGGGAATTGGTAATACTAAATAAAAACTCATAGACCCTGAAAACTTAAAATCTTAAAGAAGAAAAAAATATTTTCACTTACACCAGATTGACTAATCCCAGCATGCCCATTCCTCTGAAGTCTGTTTTGGGATCATCACCTTGGAAACCAATGTCACACCACTGCTTGGTGATTCTAGCCTTCAGGTTTTCATGAGGCATCAGCAAATTCCAAAGCTACATAAATATACTTCCACATTAAAAACAACAGAACTGCCAATGATTTTCCTAGTCATGTTATTCAGAACCCTTATTGATGCATGCCAGATTCATCAAGGTACAGGACAGTTTGCATGTTACTGGGGATATTCTGTGCATCTAAATGCAAGATTATTTTGACATGTAAGATACAAGACTATAAATAGGGACTCTTCCTGTCCTACTTCCTTTTTGTATAACACAATTAAGTCAGGGGATAATTAACTGCCTTAAAGCCTGATACTCTATACAGCTTTGACAGTGCATAAGGACCACAAGTGGATGTAAAAGAGCATCAGACTCTTCATTTTTATGGTTGTCAGTGTCCTTATCCATGTAAACCCCAAATTCTGCAAACACTTGCACAAATGCTTAATTTAGAGCATGCGTACTACCACTGAGTTCAATGAGACTATCCAGTTGCTTCAATTAAAGCATTTGCATACATCTTTGAAGAATCAAAACCATAAGTGTGATTTTTAATACACACACACACAGGGTACTGTAATACTAAATTCACTATTTTGTAAGAGTCATTAAATTCCTTGAATGGAAGGCACTATAAATTATCAAGTGCTGTTTGTATACAGAGGGATTTTTAAAAGATAATTTTGTGTACTACGATTTTTTCAATTTCAGATGGAATAAACTTACTGTAAGAAACCCTTGGGGAAGAGAGCTATTAGTCTAAGATGTGCTTTAGGATATTGTTTAACTTCAGTGAGTCACTTCTACAACTTAAACTGTAGTTATCTTTAAAATGCACAGTAAAAAGAGAAATTAAGCTCCTACATACTGTTGGAGACGTATAGGACATTTGTCAAAGCCTTATTAAAAGAGCATCCGTCAGAGCTGGCTTATCTAATTTTTTTAATCAATTTTATTCTTCTAGTTTATAAAGACCAATTACCCTAACAGTTACAAATTTAAAGAAAGGTAAATCTATATGGCTAATTGATTAGCATTTAATTATTCTAGTGATAGTTTAGGACTCAGAATTCCAAGACACCTTCACCTGGATTAGTTGCTTTTCATGTTCTTCGTTATCTGAATCATATGGAACTTTCCTCAGATTTTCCACCTCCAAATAAAGTTTCTTATAACCAGATATCTGCAGCAAACATACCTGCAAGCTTTTCTTAAAACTGAAAAATGAAATAAAACAAACAAAAAAACCTGTGGATCTTAAGGGAAATGTGGTAGGATGACCATAAAGTCATCATTGCTTAGCTCATAAGAAAAAAGGGAGAACATGCCCTGCAGGACTTAATATGACACACCAACCCACTGTAAGCTTCGCCCAGCTGAAAAAAAACATCCATTTTCTAGAAGTAAATTTATTGCTTCCCTCATCAAAATATTACACTAATCTAAACTGCAGCTCCATTTAAAAGTCTAAGAGCAATATTTCAATGCTGCACAGCTAGAATGGGAACATTGCATCTCTGGAGAGCTGTGGCTCTTCCCTTTTCCAACAGTAAATGTCACAATTGCTTCTAGATCTCAAAGATTATGAAACATCCCAAACCTTGAAATGATGGATGATTTTTATGTATAAACTAGGGATGTAAGAGACTAGTCGACTATAGGACAAGCAGAAACTTACTGAATAGTAGACTAGTGATGAGACTAGTTGCTTCCCCCTCCCTTTGCTGCCTCTATCAGAGAGAGGTAGCAAGGGGAGGAGCAGGAGCCAGTGCTGGGGGGAGCCACCTTAAAAGCTGGTTCCCCCCAGCACTGTCTCTGGGGGGAGAAGAGGGGCAGGGGTAGGGGTGATAGAGGCACAGCGGAAATGGCACAAGCAGGGACTGAAGCAATCTCTGTTTCCACCGCTTCTGCTGCAATTCTGCTTTTGAAATGTACAGAAGCCCTCCAGGGAGTGGGGGAGCAGTGGGGACTCCCCCGCGCTCCCTGCGGGGCTGCTGCTGCTTTTTTTTTTTAATGTACAAGATCCCCACTGGAGTTCTTGTACATTTCAAAGGCTCAGGTGCCTCAGGGAGCACAGGGCTTCCGGTAAGGCTCTTGCTACAGTTCAAAGGCAGAGGCGCCCTTAGACTAACTGAATAGTCGATGGAGATCCCATCAACTATTCAATTAGTGAATTAATCTAAATTTAACATCCCTCGTATAGACATTTCTTTAGATAATTTTTCGAGCTGTTTTAAATTTTCCCTCTCTAAGGACTATACAGTTACAGGTGGAGAGACACAAGGAAACTGATCCATTAACTTTAAAAAAAAAATTCTCTAAAATAACAATATGTAATACAAGTCTTACAGGATAAGCAAGGCTATGATAAAGATTTGTTTTGAGATGACCATTACAGTTTAATTTAACTGTGAGTAATGCAGTTATCCCAAACTCATGCCAATAAAACCTTATCATACTATATCATATGCACTTTCCTTATATATGTAATTAACTTAAGATTTAAGATGTAAAGTATGGTGTATATGCTGTATTACCCAAATAACTGTGTCAGATTAGGTGATACCTTTAATCTTGTCATATACCTATACAATGTTATAAAAGGTAAAATGATGAGGTCCATTGGAAGTACCTGTAAACAGCAGCAAACATACCTTATATCCTTCTGTATATTAATCTTCTTTTCTTTCATTATACCTATGACACATTTTTCCACTTCAGCTTCACCAACATGTACAGCATTTCTTAACACCTATTAAGTAAACAAAATAATGAATATAAAATGTAACATCTATTTTGTTCCTATTTTTTACCAGTCTGTTTATTGCATTTGCATCTTTTAAAATAAAAAATATGAGACAGTTGTAAAGGCTTCACCTCAAATGCAGTTATCTTAAGTGTGCTTGCTTTGCCTCTAAAAGAACAAGGATAGTTTTATTTTTTATTTTTCAACCAGCTGGTAAAATACAGTAATTAAAAAACATGCATCTTGGTCTCTGATCTTGTCAGACTTCAGAATAATCAGTATGGAGCATGAATTTTTGGATGAAGATCCTCACAAGAAAACTTAAGAGCCTGACAGTAGTTGTACTAGCAATTCACTATAGCAGGGCTACTCAACACACGGCCCATGGGTCACTTGAGGCCCGGGACCTGTTTGTTTGCGGCTTGCGGTGTGGTTTGGGTTTATGCGGGACTCAACAAGCAGCTCACGAGTGGGATCCTTTAAACATGGCCTCCACTGGAAACACTCTCCGCAATGGCACGGGTACAGCTCCATGCAGCACTGCCACTTTGAAGTATCCCCTTTTCGCCCCCTCTTTGCTGACTCTGATAGAGGCAGCAAGGAGGGAGGGGGGGATTGACTAGTTGACTCAACTATCTGATAACTAAGCATCTGCTTATCGGATAGTCAACTAGTCCTTAACATCCTTAGTTGTAACTGATTGGAAAACCATTCCCAGACTGCAGTTATCAGTGGCTCATAGTCAAACTAGAAGGGCATGTTGAGTGGAGAGCAGCAGGGATCAGTTCTGGGTCTGGTTCTGTTTAGTATTTTCCATCCATGACTTTGATATAGAGTGCACACTTACAAAGCTTGTGGACAATAACAACCTGAGAGGTCTTGTAAGTGCTTTGGTGAATAGGATTAAAATTCAAAATGATCTGGACAAACTGGAGAAATGGTTTTCAGTAAATAAGATTAAAGTTAACAAGGACAAATGCAAAGCACTTCATTTAGAAAGGACCAATCAGTTGCAAACAGAAAATGGAAAGTAATTGCTTAGGAAGAAGTCTGCAGAAAAAGACCTAGGGGTCATATTGGATCACAAGCAAAATGCTAGTCTGCAACATAACAGGGGGAGGGGAAGAAGCAAGCATTCTGGGATGTATTAGCAGAAGTGTTGCAAACAAGACACAAGAAGTAATTCTTCTGCTCTCCTCTGTGCTGACTATGTACGATTCCGGACATTTCAGGAAAGATATGAACAAACTGGAACGTCCAGAAAAAGCAATGGAAATTATTAAAGATCTAGAAAACTTCCCTCATAGGTCATGACTGAGAACACTGGGTTTACTCACTCTGGAAAAGAGAAGACTTAGAGGGAGATAATTCACAGTACCTAAAAGAGTGGTAACAAGGAGGAGGGAGAAAAATTATTCTCCTTATCCTCTGATAGGAGAAAAAGCAATGGGCTTAAACTGCATCAAGGTGGTTTAGGTTGGAAATTAGGGAAAAGCTTCTTGTGAGTGATTAACTACTCAAATAAATTGCCAAGGAAGGCTACACAATTTCTATCATTGGAGCTTTTTAAGAGCAGGTTCAACTACTACCTGTCAGGGATGGGCTAAAGTGGTCCCCCTCTCTCCACAGCCCAGCTGGAGTGTTGTCTCTCCCCTCCCCCCATGCTGCGGGTGGTAGCTACTCCAGACAGGCTGGAGCAGCCACCTGCCCACAGCAGATAGGGAGCAGCTCCATCTTCCAGCAGATAACTGTAATTGGAAATGCTTACCAGTGAGCCGGTTAACCATTCACATATCTACCATCTTTTAGTGGTGTTATGAATGCATAACAGTTTTCATTTCATTCCATTCCCAAAGAACAACATTTCAATAACGTGAGAGGAGATTCGTGTGTGTAGAAGTGTAAGCCTTTTGGGGTAAAATACTCTATAAATGTAAGATATTGAAATGATAATCAAGACTTCTTGAAGGACCCATACATAATATGGGTTATATCATAACAACAAAAACTGGTTTCTGTGCCAATCACCAAAATTCTCTTTCAGTACCACTTGTTAAAAGAACAGTCTGTTATCTTCATATGTACAAAGACAAACATGTAGCTTAAGATAAAAAAAAACCCTGAGAGTCTAAAACTTTGACAGTATCCCTTTAACTGATGTTGAACATAGCAAAAGAAAAATAAACTTTGAGATACTGCTGAACAACCAAGTATGCAGTCATATTCCATTTGCCTCAATTATCCAGCAATACTACATGACAGCATAGTATAAATGGTATAGATCCAACACTGAAAGGATTACACCTCTCATTTCCATTTTCTACAAACCACCACAAAAGATTTTGAGTCTGCAAGTCTCTACATTTATCCTGTCCTACCTAAGAGCTTCATTTTTGCTGTGCAGATAACTGAGGCCTTGATACAATGACAAATTACCTAGATTAATTTTGTCTTTTTCAAACCTGTTCAATTTTTACATTATTCTGAATTATATTGGAAATTGGGTTAACACTCACTATATTGAGCATTATTCTTTACAAAATGTTAACAGAAAAACAGTAAGAATGTGTCTGGGAATAAAGTTCTCTATCATGAATACGTACTCAAAAGATTCTGAAAGCTACCAAATTCTAAAGGGAAATATTCTCTAAACACTGGTTTTCTGGTATAGTGTGTTATCTCCATCAAATCCTACCTTTCTCTTTGAACATTCCAATGAATACTCTGTAATACAAAACAAATAATTACATAACTACAACTGTTTTACCTACTGAAGTCAAACATCTGACAAGTTAAATCATTAACACATTTGTACGTAGTATGTCTAACCAATGACTTATTAGGATTGCATTAGCAATAAGTCAAGGACAATTTTAAATTACCAGGTAAGTGACAATACTGAATTGAAAACCTTTTGCATGACGTAAATCTGTCACCATCTTTATGAATATAGCTATCTGAATCGTTTTGTATTTTAATTAAATTTACTCAATACAACCTCAGTTTAACAGCTTGGAAAGATGAGCCAATTTGAAAAAAAGAAAAGGGTTCTTGGTGAAAACATATCTACTGTGCACTTAGGAATGTCTTTTTTTCCAGGCACATTAAAAACATTACTAGTAACAGGAATTTAAAGGAACAGCAAACTTCAAAAGAACATTACATTTTCTCTGTACATTTTTCCTAGTTATTGTTACAATAACAACCAAGATTGACTTAAAAATAAAACACTTATTTTAAATTTACGTTTTTGCATTTGTCAGCATGTTAGTGTAATTGTTTTCAGTGTTTTCCCCTTTATAATTAATTTCCATGATTGTATGGGTCTTTTAAAGAAACCTTTTTTTTAAATGGGAAATTGTGATGGTAAAACAAAACAAAACAAAAAAATTGGCCAGCTACTCAGAGAAAGGGGGAGCTGACTGCATTTCCCTTGTCTAACAGGGAAAGGAAAGTATATTGTATACCTTTTTATATTTGTAGTAATTAAAGTGTCAATAAAAGTATTTGTAATTCATATAGAATGATGCACTTTTCTTTTAATTTAGAGGCCATGAAGAAGGCACTGGTGTGCCAGGCAATACAGGAAACAAGTTGGAAGGATGTCAGATTTCTCACAATGCTTTGCTAAAACACTTCCAGATGAGCTACCAATTCCAGCAATGAATACAGCGGTGCTGTCCAACAAGCTAGCCAGTAGCTATGTGGCTATCTGTAATTAGTTCGCTATCACACTACTGCTTCCGAACTGGTTCGACACCACAAGAATATCTAGGGCCCATGCCCCTTTGATTCAGCTAACAGGAGTTATCAAGGATGATTTATTAGACAGTTTTTCCTCAGTCGGGCCTGAAAAAAATTTGTTGCAGATATATCTTCAAATTGCTGTGGCACATATATTCTGTTACCAAATCTAAGGGCAAGAGGAACTGGCTCTCCCATTGCAAGCACTGTGCCTTAAAAAAATTATGTCCTTTGTTACCTATCTTTAGTGTCCGTTGGGAACCTTCCTTTGAGCCATCACGGATACGTTGTAATTCACATTTTCCAGTGAGCTGCCTCAAGATCCATTTCACCCAAAACCGAAAGAAGTGTCTATACAGGTATCCCCATAAGTACACAAACATTTTCTGTGCAAAGAGAGTGACAATTGATCACAGGGCCATCACTGTCTGTCCCTACAGGGAGAAGTGGACAATGTGTCTGGGCTGCTAGCGCTCGCTAAACCGCTTATGATGGGAACAAAAAGCCCCCCGAGGGTCTGACAGCGAGCACTCGTCAGCTGTCAGAAACGAAAGGCCGAGTCCGCCCTTAGCCGCCAAGGATGAGGACGAGAAGCGCCTTGTACCAGAGCCGCCGGCGGGGAGGTCGGGACCAAGGCTCATAGGGACTGCCGGCCACAAGTGGACACGGCGTCCAGGGGCCGCCCAGCTTCCCCTCCCAGCTCTGCCCCAACACGTCCCCGCGGCCCTGGGCGGGGGGCTCTGCCCAGCCAGCACGGGGCG